CCACAGAGGCTGCAGGACCCAGCTGACCCATCCTAGTAAGCAGTTTCTGTAAATGTGCTCAGACCAGAGGTTTTGGGCACCTTGAGTGGGAGCACCCTGAGATGTGCCAGGTGTGTGACCACACCACCTCAGGCAGCCTGAGACACGTCCCCTCTGGGAGGAGGTCCGAGCGCCTTCTCTCCCCTTGTGGCTTGGGGCCCACATGATGTGAAGACCTGAGAGCACCATCCAGATCGGAGAACTGCAGGACCTCAGTTGACTGTGGCACCCCCACCTCCACCCCCCGGATCCCTCCTTCAACCCAGGTTTTCCCACCTTGAGTCTTGGTTGTCACATCTACAATGCCCGGGGCCCCTCGGGTCCCTCACAAGCTGGGGCCTCCTGCTCTGGGCGGCGCCTCCTCCCCTGTGCCTGTGAGCATCTAAGGGTGTCCAGACGCAGTCAGATGGGGCTGGGAAAGCACCTGCTAGAGGAGCTCCAGAGACGGGCTCACCTGTTTGTCCCATGTTTGCAGCCCCTGCTCACCTTCCCAAAACCACACAGCCAGGGAGTTGTGACTGAGAACTCAGCCCAGCAACTCATAGAAGTCTGTCTTTAAAATTTGAGCCCTGGCCGGTTTGGCTCAGTGAATAGAGCATTGGCCTGCAGACTGAAGGGTCCCGGGTTCGATTCTGGCCAAGGGCACATGCCTGGGTTGTGGACTCGATCCCCAGTGTGGGGCGTGCCAGGAGGCAGCCAATCAATGATTCTCTCTCATCATTGATGGTTCTATCTCTCTCTCCCTCTCCCTTCCTCTCTGAAATCAATAAAGATATATATTAAAAAAAATAATAATAAAAATAAAATTTGTTTTGAATTGCTACATGTACAATTAGAAATGTAGCTTCCAAAAATCAACATGCCTCTTAACATCTAGGAGGTAGTTTGGAACAAAAAATGAATTGGCTCTATAGAGAAATCTTAACCCACATAGTACAAAGAACAGGAGTCTCTGTGGAAGCATACAGTCTTCCAACACCTTAAAAACCTAATGCCCCCCCCCCACTGGTATTTGAAAAATTTTAGTCTGAAAAGATAAAAATGATCACCCCAGGGAACATTCTGACTAGCTCTAGAAAGTGCCAACACTCATTATCACTTGTATTCGACCTGTCAAAAAAAAAAAAATGCAGTCCAAGCTGATTTCAAGAGGGCAAAAACAAAACAAAACAGGGTTTCACTGATAACTACCTACAGAGTGTGTTCAGGTAACCACATTCTTTTTGATATTTGTTTGTTTTCCTATGCATACTCTTTTGTATTTGTAACCAGACTGCACACAAGTTTCTTGCTGTTTTCCATCTACCACATCATTTTTCTTTGCTTTCCACAAACAACACCTTTAAGGTCTAAATCTCTAAGTCTGACTTTCATAAGCTCTCCTAATTGTAACAGAAACCTTCAATAAGTTTCTGAAGATGCTTTTAAGCCCTGTAAAAAATCCAAATACATAAAGCCGTAAGTACTTTTTCAACAGTGAGAAAGACATGAAAAATTGTTCAATATCAAAGCAATTTAAAAATAAAGGAAGGTGAGATCCACACTTCTGCCCTGGTAGCATGAAAAGATTGTGAGGAAATGAAAATTTTATAAATAGGTATTTTCTGGAAGGCAGTCTGGCAAAAACGTATCAAAATGTAACTCTACCTCTAGGAATTTATGCCAAGGAAATAACCAGAAAATGTGCAGATACTTAGATGGCACAAGGATGTTGACATTGTACGACTGCACAATAGAACAAGAACACTCAAATGTCTATTAATGGGAGACTGGATACAAGTCACCCTGCCCAAGGTCCCAACCACTGGCTGTCACCACAGGAACAGATGTTCAAACTCAAAGCGTCAAAATGAAAGTGACCCTGGAAAAGTTGCTCAGTTGGTTAGAGTGTCGTCCAGACACACCAAGGGCTTGATTCCTGGTCAGGGCACATACAAGAAGCAACCAATGAATGCATAAATAAGCAGAACAACAAATCGATGTTTCTCTCAAATAAATAAGTAATTTAAAAAAACCACAGAAATGAGTACTGCAACCTGAACATGTTCACATGATGTGAAGAGAGGTTACAGAGCTTCGTTTTGATCTCCCTTTAAGTGTATTAGACACAGAAAAATGGTATTTTGAGTGATCTTCATCTTCCATGTTTTCTTCAGTGAGAATTTTGCAAAGATTACTTTTTTAACAAAGGAAAACACTTCCCAAATAGGCATTTTAGAAATTAAAGAGCCATGTCTAAAAGAACCTTACATTCACCACATGAATAACGTGTTACCCTAAACTTACCTCCTTTGTCCTCATTCTGCCCTTGTGATGAGTAAACTCGAAAGACAGTAAACTCGGTAAAAGCACACAAAAGAATTCCTACTCTGGCTTGTTTTGCCCCCCTTTCCACAGGAGACCCAATGCTGTGCTGGCTCCCACCACTATGAACTACTAAGAACTTGCTATCTTTTTATTTTTCATTTTTATTTATTGACTAGGGGCCCAGTGCATGAATTCGCGCACCTTGAAAGGAACTGTGGGCCGCGAGGCTGCGGTAGGCACAGTGATGGGTCTTGGCCCATCCTCCTCACCCCCACCCGGCCCCTCCCGCCACTGCCCCTGGTACCGTCTGCAGGCAGCCCTGCTCCCGTCGACACCCCACACGCTGAGGGCGCTGTCCCCGCTTGCACCTGCTGACAGTGTGGAGTGACTGGGGCCATGCCGGCAGCGGGTGCTAGCCGGGCCAGTGCTGTCAATGGTGCGAGGAGCAGAGGGAGGTGGAGAAGCACCCAGGGGCGATCCGGGCCAGCAGCCACCACTCACACCCGCTAATGGCGCTGAGGGACCAGGACCAACGCCGGGCACTGGCAGCGGGTGCGAGCGGTGGCTCTGGCGCCAGCAGAGGGTGTGAGTGCCAGCTGGGACTGTGGCGTGTGGGAGCAAAGAATTTTCAGTAACCACCAGAGGCTCACCCCAATGACAGCAAGTGGTGCCCCGCCTTGGTCTGGCACCCCCTCTCACCTGCTCCACCATTACCCCCATGGCCAATGTCTGCCATGTTCTGCACACACCCCCTGGTGGTCAGTGCACATCATAGCGACCGGTTGTTTGGTTGTTCCTATTGTTCCACCGTTTGTTCTATTTGCATATTAGCGTTTTATTATATAGGATGTTAGAGAGAGGGGTAGGGAGGGGGGATTGTGTATCGATCTGTTGTTCCACTTATTTCTGCACTTGGCCTTGGATTCTTGTGTGTGCCCTGACCTGGATCAAACCCACAGCCTTGGTGTTATCTGGCTGACGCTCTAACCAACTGAGCTCCCGGGGCCAGCCCAGGGCATCAGACAAGCATGACTTTGAAACCGATTTCACTCACAAAGTTGCTGCAAGTAATTTTTTAAACTTTTTCTTTTCTAAGATCTCATCCCAACTTTATTACACAAATACTTAGTAGCAGGACTTAAACAAAGGATCACCAGCCAGAACCAGCAGGATGAGGTGGTCTCCACAGCACCTGTTATTATAATTAAAAACATTAAATATCAGTTCCCTTGAGTAGTTTTCCAGGGGTGTGAACGCTGCATTCTTCTGCTTAAATTTACCCAATTTTGCCGAAACGGGTTTGGCTCGGTGGCTAGAGAGTCGGCCTGCGGACTGAAGGGTCCCAGGTTCGATTCCGGTCAAGGGCATGTACCTGGGTTGCGGGCACATCCCCCATGGGGGGTGTGCAAGAGGCAGCTGATCGATGTTTCTCTATCATCGACGTTTCTAACTCTCTATCTCTCCCCCTTCCTCTCTGTAAAAAATCAATAAAATATATTTTAAAAAAATAACAAATAAAAAAATAAATAAATTTACCCAATTTTTAATGACTGGAGACATAATGCAGTTGGGGGGTGAGACCCAGCACAATGTAACTCCAGCATATGTCTAGTTTTAAAATAACTTTACAGTTTAAAAATAACCTGCACATAGACTTCTCAGGTTCAAAGCGAGTGATAACACGCTACCCAAAAATGGCATCCCGTGAATACTGCGGACGGGCCGCCGATGTTGGTTGGGAGGCGTCAAGCTCCTCCTTAGCAGATCATGGCCACGGGACCCTGCCCGCCTCAGCAGGGAAACCCGAGTGCGGGGGCCCCGCTCTCCCCAAGTCACCCGGGGCTCAGGCAGGGCGGGTCACAGCAGCCAGCTCTGCGGTGCTTCACATCCGCACACAGGGGCGCCGGGAGCGAAGGCAGTTCCCACTGTGCTTTACTGTCACAATAATGCGAGTGACCGAGGGGAAAACTCTGTCAGGCAAGAATAAACTCTCACTAAAGACACCAGGGCCCCCGAGGAGGAGTTCCGCTAAAATATCACGCGAGGCGCCCACTCCACTGCCCTCCGGAGACGCCGGGGCCTTTCAATCGGGTTGGGGAGGGTTTCTGACTCGAGACTTGAACGTGTGGCTAGAAGCAAACACACAAATTCCTGACGTTGACAACACGGCTGTTTCCCTATTTTTTTTAAAAGCCTCTTCCTGTGCTGAGGTCACGTCCCGCAGGCTTCCCAACAGGTGGTAAGTGACGCTTCGCCCTGGACCCTAAGCCGGCGTCTGGGCCAGACAGGCCCCCCATTTTCCGATGCGCCGAAGGGCGTGCCAGGCGGGCGGGCCGAGCACCAGCCTCCGGGTCTCCCAGGAGCTCTGCGGTTCCGGGGGCGCGGGAACGTTTTCACTTCGAACCTGGATTTCCCCGCGATGCTGAGCACACGTGGGCGCACCGCGCGGCCGACCGCGCCCTGTCCACCCCTCGCAGAGCTCGGCCACCGGAGTCCAAGAGCCCGGGCCGGGCAGCCCCCCGCGCTTCCTTCAGGGACCGCCCGGCCCCGGACGCGCCGGGGAGAGCAGAGGCAGCCTTCGCCCAGCTCGGGCCGGAGGGACGGCGGACCGGCCGGGGACGGGGCGCGCGGGGCCAGGGCGGAGGCCCACCTACCTAAGGATGTTGTGCGCCTCCATGCTCCGGTTCTGGTTGCTCGAGCAGACCACCGCCACCCGCAGCGGCGACGACGGCATGGCGGTGGCCTCACCGTCCGCTCCCTCCGGCTCGGGACTCCCACCCAGGCGCGGCTCTTCCGCGCGACCAAGATGGCGGCCGCGGCTCCCGGAAGTCATGACGCCAAGCGGCGGCGCCGACGACGTACCGCGTCGGGACGCGCGGCGCGGAAGAGTACCCGGCGTCCAGCAGGCCTCCCCGCGCGGTCTGGAGCCGGGCAGCGGGCGGAGGGAGGCCCACCAACGGGCGCCGGGCGGGCGAGCTCGCCTCTGCTCCGAGGGGGCGCAGCCGAAGCCCGCGTTCCTCACAGGAGCTGCCCACCGACCGCGTCGGCGTGCTGACGTCACAACGCCGCGCCGCCGTCGCCGAGAGTGACGCGAGGCGTCGCGAACGTCCCGCCGCTGTCGCCGGCAGTGACGCCACGCCGGCCCAGACAGGCGTGGGAGGTGGCTGGGCGCGACCCGGCGCCTGTCCGGGCGACTCTACGCGCCCCAGAATCCCCTGGGGCCCCGGGTTCTCCCTCGCTCCCGCGTCGCCGGGAGAAGCCCGCAGGGACGGCTCTGGGGTCGGGACGCAGCTCCACGTGCTTGGTGGCTGGCCCTGCTCTTAACTTCCTCTTCCGCTCTCGGATGTCCTTCCTCCATTTTCTTCCGGGCGGAAACCTCTACCGGGCTGGCGGTGGCTGCTCCTACAGGCTTGCTTTTTTTTCTTTTTTTAACCCCTAAATAAATCCTTTTTGCTGAATGAACACCTGGCCGACTGTTTACTTACTTCCGGCCTATTTGGGGCCCCTTGTCCCGGTCGCTCCAGGTCGGGTGAGCAGGCATAGCGGCGTCCACCGGGCCGGCTGAGCTCCGTGCTCCTCCTCGGCTCGGAGCTGACGGGTAAGTCCTCCCGGACCCGACCTCCCGCCGTGTGTCCTGAAGCTCTGCAGCCCTTATCCGGGACCTGGGGAGTTTTCGGGGTTTTGTCTTTTTTCTTTTTTCCTGTTAGAAGGCCGTGTTTGTCGGGCTCTCAGTTGACACGTTGGCCTGACCCCCGGGGGGCCGGGCTGTGTCTTGGGCGGGTTCTTCGTGCTGGTGGTTGTCAGTCCGCTTCCGTCTGGACGCAGACGGTCCCAGTGACCCTGTCGCTCAGCCACTGGCCAGGCGCGGAGGACGGCGGTAATGTTTGCTCTGAAACAGGCCAGGACCATCCCTGCCTCCTGCCAGGTGCCGGGTCCTGGGCTGTGACCTGCACCCGGGAATGGTCCCGAACCAGCACCGTGACTCCTCCGCGCTGCCCGGTGTTGGGCCCAGTACCTGCCCGGTGGTGCCAGGACCCACTCATCTCGCTGCCACTCAGGGCACGCGGCCCGTGCGCGTGGTTTCCCCTAATAAAACCCACCAGTGTCGGACTGCAGGGCAGCCGCCTCCTCGGGTCTCCCCCGGACCTCTGCTCTCGGAGGCGGGTGCTCAGTGGCAGGGCCCCCCGGGTCTGCATGCCCTGACCGCAGGCTCCCCCTCCGGAACTGGCTGTTGGGCCCTCGGCTTTCCCTCTGTGACCAGGCTGTGCTCAGCGGGACTGGCCGGTACTGAGCCTGCAGGTTGCTTGAGCCGATGTAGCCCGTCTGGGCCCTTGTTCCAGAGAAAAGTCTACGGTCTCAGTTATCTGAATATTTTCAAGGTCTCCCTCCTGCGCGGACCCCGGCTGAATTTATGTTTAAAAACCACCGTCCCTCCTCATGCGCATTTCTAACTGAATGGACGATGTGACCAAAAGTAATTGAGGTTCTCAGTAGTTATGGGAAACATTTGAGATTCCAAAACTTAACTTTTTTTTTTTAATATATTTTATTGATTTTTTACAGAGAGGAAAGGAGAGGAATAGAGAGAAACATCGATCAGCTGCCTCCTGCACATCTCCCACTGGGGATGTACCCGCAACCCAGGTACATGCCCTTGACCGGAATCGAACCTGGGACCTTTCAGTCTGCAGGCCGACGCTCTATCCCCTGAGCCAAACCGGTTAGGGCAAAACTTAACTTTTTAAAAAAATATATTTTTATTGATTTCGGAGAGGAAGGGAGGGAGAGAGAGAGAGAAACATCAATGATGACCCTAGCTCTGTGGTCGGCAAACTGCGGCTTGCGAGCCACATGCGCCTCTTTGGCCTCTTGAGTGTGGCTCTTCCTAAGCCTTAGGAGGACCCTAATTAAGTTAATAACAATGTACCTACCTACATAGTTTAAGTTTAAAAAATCTGGCTCTCAAAAGAAATTTCAATTGTTGTACTGTTGATATTTGGCTCTGTTGCCAACCACTGCCCTAGCTGGTTTGGTTCAGTGGATAGAGTGTTGGCCTGCGGACTAAAGGGTCCCGGGTTCAATTCCAGTCACGGGCACATGCCCAGGTTGCAGGCTCAGTCTCCAATGGGGGACATGCAGAAAGCAGCCAATCCGTGATTCTCTCTCTCTCCCTCTACCTTCCTCTCTGAAATAAAAAATAAAAATTAAGAAAGAAAGAAAGAAACATCAATGATAAGAGAGAATCATTGATTGGCTGTGTTCTGCACACCCCACACTGGGGATTGAGCCCCAAACCCGGGCATGTGCCCTGACTGGGAATCGAACCGTGACCTCCTGGTTCATAGGTCAACGCTTCACCACTGAGAGTCATGCTGGCCGAGCATCCACGCCTTTTTTAAAACTTAATTGGACAACCACAGCTCTGAAATTGCCAAATGGAACACCTATTTTGAGTGGCATTTTGAGGCTTCCAAACATTACCAGGAATCTGCAGTTGCCTCTTCGCCTAATAGTTTTAGAATTAACTGAAGCCAACCAGCTTCTGAAGAAAGAAGACGGCTTCAGAAGCCGCCTGTTCCTTGTTCCTGTGCCGGCTTGCCTTCCACCCAGCCTCCTGCCTCCGGCTCTAGTTCCGCCCCTGGTGCCCTCCCCGCCGGACCTCCTCTCACGCCCTCCTCTGAACTATCAGTACTGGACCCTTTAAAGTTAAGCCCTCTGAGGGTCCTAATAAGCCCCGAGCTTCCTATGTCCCCTGGACTATAGACTTCCCTAAGGGGACTGAGCGTCCTCACAGAGCTGCTGACGCGTCTGACATGTTTATTCAAGCCGACCAGCCCGGATCCTCCGCTTCATGTCAGCGGTGTTTGCTGGTCCGTGAAGGCAGGCCCCGCTCGGGATGAGACCTGCTGGATCGCAACGCCCTGAAAGGGGTTTTTAGCAAAATGCTAGGGAAGGTGGTGGGGTCCCCACTGAGCACTTACAGCAGCCTTTCCACAGCCTGTCGATCGGAGCAAAATTCAGACTTGCTCCCCAAGTCAGATGCATATGTGCCTTGTAATTAACTTGATTTTAAGGAAAAGTCTGGTCTTCCCTCAGATGTTGAAGTCACTCCAGTAGCCTTTACCTCTGTGCTTACTAAAGGCTGAACTGGCCCCGCTGGTGTGGTCAGTGGTTGAGTGTCCACCTATGAACCGTGAGGTTGGATTCCTGGTCGGGGAACAAGCCTGGGTCGGGTGGTTGATGCCCACATTGCCTGCTCAGTCCCCAGCAGGGGGCCTGCAGGAGGCAGCCAATCCGTGATTCTCTCTCCCTCTCCCTTCCTCTCTGAAATCAATAAGAAAATATTAAAAAGAAAAAAGCACACAGGTCTGAGGTTATCAAAAGTAAGGATTTCTTTACAACAAAGGACACGGCAAAGTTAGCACATGTACAATATTTAAAGCAGCCAGAGGTGCCTGTCTAGAACTGTGTTTGACACGGCCCCCACTGAGCACATGTAGCTTCCTAAGGTAAACAACATTTACGATGCGCCCTCGCTGGCTCAGCTCCGTGGGTAGAGCGTCGGCCTGCGGACTGAAAGGTCCCAGGTTCGATTCTGGTCAAGGGCATGTACCTTGGTTGTGGGCACATCTCCAGTAGGAGGTGTGCAGGAGGCAGCTGATCGATGTTTCTCTCTCATCGATGTTTCTAACTATCTCTTTCCCTTCCTCTCAGTAAAAAATCAATAAAATATATTTTTTAAAAAATTCACTAGCGGCAGCCTTAATCCAGTGAGCGGTATCTTTATAAGAGGAAGGAGGCCGTTCGGACAGAGGCAGAGGAGATGCTCGGACGAGAGGGACCGTGGGCTCTGCACCCTTGGACACTGGAGCGATGTGTCCCCAGGCCAAGGACCCAAGGTTGCCAGCAGGTCCCGAAGGTGGCAAGGGGCACGAAGCAGCTTTCCCTGCAGAGCCTCCAGCCGGTCCCCACCCTGCCGCCTGTGAGAACACGTTCCTCGTGTCTTCAGCCTCCTAGTTTGTTGGTAATTCCGTACAGCGGCCCTCAGAAACTTACAGCGTAGATGAGGACAGTCCCAGAAAGGCCTGTGGCACGGTGCTGATCCAGAATACTCAAGGAACTCTTGAAAATCAAGAGGGAAAAGTCACCGCAATGCAAAAACGTACAGAAGACCTGAATAAGCAGCGTGTCCCAGGGGACACGAGAGGGACGAAGAGAACAGGACGCCACGCCCAACCTCGCGGTAACTAGAGAAAAGCAAATCCGAATAATACTGGGTTTCTGCTACACAGCCAACGGATGGGCGGGAGCTGGAGAACGGAATGCTGCCGGTGCTCATGGGAAATGGAGGGGTGCCCACTGCCTTAGCCACGAAGAACGAACTGGCAGTATTGGCAGAAGGAAGTCGGCACACCCCCGAGACCCATCGTCCCCCACCACGGGAAATCCTCGAGAGGGTCCCTGAGGACGGTGGAGGGTCTTCATGGAACGCCTTGATAATAGTGCAGCTGCCTGTGTCCTCCCGGCGTGAGGACACGTGCGTGCGGAGGAGGGGCACGCGGGAAACCCCAGCCAGGGCACAGGGAAGGAAGCGTTTGTGTGCACGGCGACGTGGAGGCTCAGAGATGTGGCAAGAGCCCAGGCTGGTGTGGCTCTGTTGGGTGGGTGTTGTTTCACGCACCAGAAGGTTGCCATTCTGATTCCCGGTCAGGGCCCATGCCCAGGTTGCAGGCTCCGTCCCCAGGAGGGGGCGTGCAGAAGTGATGTTTCACTCTCACATTGATGTTTCTCTCCTCCCTTCTTCTCGCTCTAAAAATCAATAAAACAATCTTTTTAGCCCTAACCGGTTTCACTCAGTGTTTAGAGCATCGGCCTGTGGTCTCAAGGGTCCCGGGTTCGATTCCGGTCAAGGGCATGTACCTTGGTTGCGGGCACATCCCCAGTAGGGGGTGTGCAGGAGGCAACTGATGGATGTTTCTCTCTCATCGATGTTTCTAACTCTCTATCCCTCTCCCTTCTTCTCTGTAAA